CCTACATTCTGAAAGAAAAAAATAGACATTGTGACTAGATTACATATTATATGGATATAACCATGCATGGTCAAGCCTACAGCTTAAATGTAGTGTTTTATGTCTTGTAAAGACATTGCCAGATAATAAACTGTGGCTTTCCAAAAGAAAGGAACAATTTTTGCTCCCTCAAGATTCCTTGCACATCCCTTCATCCCTCTGCACCAGCATCAGGGCCAACTACACTATGCTCTGCAGTTTTCACTCAGTCTTTACTAACTTGTTCTCCCTGCGCTAAGGATTTGCACCATTATTATTACAATCCTTTATTTCTCCCCCCTTCCATCTAAGGTAAAATGCATTATGAAAAATGCTGGGGTAATCATTCCAGGCCCAGTTCTGCATCTGATATAAGCAGTAACACTGCCATTCAACACTGGGTAATGTCAGTTGTTTCTTGAAGCAAATTTAAATATTTCTGAGTCTTTGGGCTATCTCTGTTCCACAATGCCACAGGTACCCAGAGTTTGAACCAAGCTAGTCTTCATGAATACTAAGTTTCTTCTGAATGACTCAAGGTCAAAGAGTCATTCTGTTGACACATACCCACAGGAGACTCCCATCCTTTTGCATGGAGATGACATCACCATTTGAGCTCTGAGGTTACACAAAAGCCCTTCCATCCTCCTGAGAATTAGTTTCTGTGGAATGGAACCGCTGCCTTAGAGCAACCTTTGACAGGGACTCAGAGTCTCTCTGCAGGAGCAGTCCTGCCAAGTGACCGGATCTTTTCAATTTCTGACCCACATTTGCATCTTAAAACTTGTAAACCTGAACCCTGCTTCTCTTTTCCTACCCCCTGGCCTCCACTCACTCCATTCAGTCTGACAGACAGGACAGAAAATTATGCTCCTTGGTTGAGATACAAATCTAGCTGCCTGTGTGACTCAGCTTCAAGTCCACTCACACTGGTATTTCAAGATCATTACTGGTTTTGCCCAATTGATCATATCAAATATGAGGAGACATGAAAGCTTGGTTGTATGGGGTCAATTATAAAACATACCAGCAGGACTGAATTTACAATGGTGTCATGCCCATGCTCAAATGGGACCCCGGCCTGACCCACTCCATTTGTGCTTCACCCTGAGCTGTTAGCTACTCTGCACCCCCCGACCCTTCTCCCCACCCACTCCAATGCTCACTCCTCTTGCCCAGCTGACCCAGGGTTTCTTCCCGCCCCTACCCTCTGCAAGCACGTCTTGGCCAGAGGCCAGTTGGTCAAGCACTCTCCTCCACTCCTAAGTGTTAGGGGTTGAGAGGAGCCTTCAGCAGCTGCTGCTCCAGTGACTGTCTGCTTTGGGCTACCTGGGGTGTGGCCTGCTTCTTCCTGCCACTCTGCAGAAGAGCATGCTGGGAAAATTGGTGGCTGCCTTGCCCCAGGAAACAACTCCTCTCTGCTGTGGGCACCAGCACTAGGTGGACAGGGCCACTCTGTGCTCCAAAGCTTCCTGCTCATATGTTGGAGCATGTTCGCGCTCCTCGGTTTACTAGTAGTTGTCGAGGGTCACCAATTTCAGGGGTCCCTAGGCACATTGGTGGGCCAGGGCTGCACAAACAATGCAGCAGGAGGCAGTGGCTCACTGAGGTAAATAGGATGAAGTTCAATAAGGACAAACGCAAAGTGCTACATTTAGGGAGGAACAATCAGTTTCACACATACAAAATGGGAAATGACTGTTTAGGAGGGAGTACCGCAGAAAGGGATCTATGGAGTCATAGTGGATCACAAGCTATATGTGAGTCAGCAACGTGGCACTGCTCAAAAAAAGCAAACATGATTCTGGGGTGCATCAAAAGGAGTGTTGTAAGCAAAATACAAGGGCTGTGTCTAGACTGGCCAGTTTTTCCAGAAAATCAGCCGCTTTTCCGGAAACGTTTGCCAGCTGTCTACACTGGCCGCTTGAATTTCTGCAAAAGCACTGACTTCCTACTGTAAGAAATCAGTGCTTTTTGCGGAAATACTATGCTGCTCCCATTCTTTTGCACAAAAGGGCCAGTGTAGACAGCAGAGATTTGTTTTCCGCAAAAAAGCCCCAATCACGAAAATGGCGATCGGGGCTTTTTTGTGGAAAAGTGCATCTGGATTGGCCATGGATGCTTTTCTGCACAAAGTGCTTTTGCGGAAAAGCGTCCATGCCAATCTAGACGCTCTGTTCCGAAAATGCTTTTAACTGAAAACTTTTCCGTTTAGACTGGCATGATTTTCCAGAAATGCTTTTAACGGAAAAGTTTTCCGTTAAAAGCATTTCCGGAAAATCATGCCAGTCTAGATGTAGCCAAGAAGTAAATCTTCTCTAGTCTGTGCTGATTAGGCTTCAGCTGGAGTATTGTGTGCAGTTCTGGGCACCACATTTCAAGAAAGTGGT